GACAGTGGTGGCATAGACTATCTAAAGACCTTCTGCTCTTGCACACGTGCAGGGACATGCTTACCCACACACAATACACAGGAAAAATACACTACAGTTCCTACATCAAGACACCAGGCACCTGCATCAACATACAGTCAGGCATGAGTGTGCAACATACATTCAGTAGGGCATGTGTGTCAGCATACAGTCAGCTAGGTATGAGTGCACAGGATACAGTCAGCCTGGCATGTGTGCCAGCATACAGTCAGCCAGGCATCAACAAAGAGTTGGTCATTTCTGGCAGAGGAGTTATCTGTGGGTAGCAGGAGCAGTTCCCCTTTCAGCCTGTTCCCTGTGCCTGGACTGGAATCACATGTTGTGTGCATAGTGCTTGCCCTGCTGTGTTTGCACCTGCAGGTTGCCATTGAAACCGCTCACTTCTGCTCTGAACTCGAAGTAGCAGCAGCTCTTGGGAGTGCTGAGTGTGAGACTTCTCACTCTGTGCTCACAGTTTGCACAGCTCCACTGAACCGAGCAATTGCCTCTGCCAGCTTCTGCTTACCAAGGCCCTTGCAGTAAATGAGCACTTCCACCCTCATGCTCGCCCTCTCTCTCAAACTGGCTTTGCAGGTGAAGAACTCAAGGACTTCACCGAAGATAATGGATAACGCCTCTTGGCTGGTGTGCTATACCTTCTTCCTTACTAGACTACATGTTGACACCAGCTATTATGACCTCCTGGGAGTGCAGAGATTGCTGCAGTAGCTCTTCCCTGGTCTCAGGACTCCCTTAGCCACATAGAGCCCAGTCCTTTCCCAAAACCTTCAGCTCCTATAGAAATTCCCACTGATGCTGATGGTGGAGTTTTCTCTCCAGCTTGGTCCCACAGCTATTTAGTCCCAAATAAATACACAGAGGCATATATTATAAACTGTTTGGCCAATGGCTCAGGCTTCTTACTGGCTAGCTCACTCTTAATTATTAACCCATTATTATTAAACTATGTTTTGCTACGAGGCTGTGCCTTACCTGTAGTGCTCTGGCATGTTACTCCTTCTGTGGGTACATAGCATCTCCCTTTCTGGCGACTGCTTCCCAGCCTTCCTCTTCCCAGAATTCCTATTCTGGTAGCCTCACCTATACTTTCTATCTAGCTGCTGGCCAATCAGCATTTATTCACCAACCAATAAGAGAAACATATATTTACAGCATACAGAAGGACCTCCCCCATCATCCCTCCCCAAGCAATGAAGAAAGGGCCTCTATTCTTGAGGCGAGCTATTTTAGCTTTCTTCAGAAGACTGTAGTGCCCAAGGCCTGTGGGTAAAGGGCTGAGGTATAGAGGTTGTCCCTGATTCCAGGGATGGCTGCCCCCATTTTTGTCTCAGAGCCTTTCTTCACATTATTTCATTTCTCAAAACTGTCTTTCCCTTTACATCTTGGTCTGTGGCCGTGCCTCTGTATACATGCAGCCCACGTGGAGGCAGGGTCCCCTCCAGAACTTCTGCCCAGACTTGCATACACATCTGAGGGAAGCTCAGAACTAGAATGAAGGCCCAGCTGTGTCTTTTCTGGTCTCTAGGGGGCAATGTGGCCTACACCTGTGTCTTGACAATTCCATGGCTTTTAAACAACAGAACCCAGGCTGCAGTGACCTTGCACTGTTGGATAAAAATGTATGTTTTTACTATAGATTGTCAGTTTGCACAGAAGTGAATTTCCTTTTCATCCTTGGAAAACTTGGACTTAAGACTCTCACAGACTTCTAGAGACTTAAATTTCCTTGTTCGGAGGCACTTTAGGTATCATGTATTACCTCCTTCTAATAGCTTAAAAATAGACTCTGCCTACCTCAGGCTGCAGTAAGACACACATCAGTCTATCCTCAGTTGGTATCACAAAGGGCCTTTCTCTAAGTCTTTTTTTCTTCAAATTGTGTGAGGATATTTCCTGAAGAATCAAGGGGCAAAGGCCTTTCAGGCATTTGACATCATGCTGTTTATATATAGCCTTGGCCCACTACCTCATTCCCTGTTTCCTTCTCATCTACGCCATCCCAGAGTCACTTCCTGCTGTCTTCTGTGTAGCTGCTCTGTGTCTGTG